AAAGTAGCAGTAAAACATTTAATAATACAAAAAAAAGAATTATTACACGAAATTTATCTGTTTATTTTTTATTCTTTATAGTATTATGTGCATAAATACCCAATATCAAAAAAAATCAAAAAAAAAACTAATTTTAACAATGTATTGTAAATAATGAATTTTCAATATATTCAAAATCTTTTTGAAAATCGGATTTAGTAAATAATAAATAATAATAGTCAAATTATATAAATTTTATACATATAAAACCTTAAATAATATTAAATATCAGTAATTAAAGAGAAAGTAAATTTCTTTTTTATGATTATATGATGATGGTGGTGGTAACTATAAATAATAAATAAACATTCGTTACTCTAGTTGCAAAACAAAAGAATTGATTTTTTATTTTCGTCAACAATTTTTACTTTCGTCAAATCGTCAAAATGCCTCTTGGTGAGAAACTACTTTAGTCAGCACTTTCGTCACGTCAATGACTAAAGTCGAAAGTTTCGTCATGCAACGACATGATCGCAATCAACTTTGTGAAACTGCGATTTCCTTTTCATAGATAAAATTACCAAAAAGACTATTTTTTTTTAAAAAAAAAAACAATTAATCCTGAAATAGAGATTGAATGTTGATTTTGTTGTTTTCTTACGATCGATAATAATAATATTATAAAATTTTGGAACCAAATTAAAATCCATTTAACCTTGACGTTACTGATTTCATATGAAACTCCTGATATTATTATTAATATCTGGTTTACCAAGTCGACTGAAACGTTTAAATTCCTGATCGGAGGATTTTTTTGGGTAGTGGTTTTTATTGATATCTGTCGTTCTTTCGTAAAGCTTTTTAAATGGAATGTATTTTACTGTCCTTTTCTAAATTCCGTAATTTTTTGTCGATTTTGCAAATTAATTTCTTTTCGTGTTAAGTTCTGTTTGGTTTTTGGTGCGATCAACGTTTTCACCTTATTAAGCAAATTTTGAGTCGTACGGCAAATACTCTAGAGTTCTTTGCAATTGCAATTGCAATTTGCAAGTGCCTTGCCATTGCCTGCCTGTTGTTTGCGATGCAATGAACTTCCCGCTCCCCAATTTTTTTTTATTCGAAAAAAGGTTCATTATATTAATATAGTCGAATAAAAAATCGAATTGGGATAATTTGATTATTCCAATTGTTAATTTTTGAAAAAAAAATACGAGACTGATAAACTTGATTTGCGTCAAATAAAAAAAATACCGAAAAAACGTTTTTTCAATTGTTTACACAGCTGCGCAACCAAAATTATTATTATTATTGGATAAAATAAAAAAAATACGTCAAAATCCAAAAAAAGGTTTTTAAATTGTTACGTAGTGTCCCGCAGCTGCG